CAATAAAACAAACCAGACAACCAAAAATAGCAGCCTACAAATTATTTTCATACTGTGAATGCTATAAAAATTCAAGAAATTATATAATGTGGTGTCAACAGATTAAATACAGTCATTGCTTACAGTCTTACAGTAGGAAAAGTCTTTACACCTTGTGTTTTATGGTCAAAATCATAGAAACGCAGAAAAGTTGATTAAAAAGCACCTCAGTCAGTTACTGAGCCCAAGCTGTTACTTGAAATGTGACTATTTGCAGCTCTTGGTCTCCTAATGCAAGAAAGATAACAATCTCTTTGAGGATGTTAAACTCAAGGCACTTGTAAACCAGAAAAAGTGCACGTTGTTGATTTCAAAGAATTTGCCAACTAGAAGGTTAGACTGTCCTCATTTCTGCTTCCTTCTCCTCCAGACCTCTTATTTTAAAGTCACCTCATTTCTGGTTCTTGCCACCCATCTTAACATTAAGGTTTTACTTTTTCCAGACCACTTCTGGCAGGTTCCAAGTCAACAGACCTTCAAAGCTTATCAGGGAGGCCCCCCCTGGTGCTGCATCAACTGGGGCACTGCTGAGAGGTGTCCCATGAGCTGGGAACAGGATGGGTAGATGAAAGTCTACAGAAATTTGCTCTGCATGATAGTCATCTTATGAACTCAATGTGTACAATTTTGAAAGGGAACTTACAGGCTTTGGAGTTTTCCATGGAGAAAAGAAACCTGAAATAAACAAAAGATAATGTTAGCAGCTTTTTCTGATGCATAAAGAATGGAGGCTAAGTGGTGTCTATGCTCCCATTCTCATTCAGGTCTGCAGATAATATTGATAGATATGAAAATTCTCTACACACAAGGGGTGAAAACACAAAACATGAGGGATAATTTCTAAGAAAAAATAGACAGAAATACATATACATATACATATACATATACATATACATATACATATACATATACATATACATATACATATATATATGCAAGTGGAGCTATTGAGATCATTGCCATACTTTACAAACAGCATGGGATTAGGTTGAAATTAAAAGAACTAATCAAAAGGACTTCCAAATGTCTTGGTGGACATTGGATAAGACATCAAATGACCTGGTATTGATGTGTCAAATGCAGTCGCACCTTTAGGAAGATGGATTCAGAACATCCCATCAACAAAACCTAATAATACAAGAGATTTTTTTAGAAGAAAAGCCTGAAGAAAAATAACTGTTTCATTAGTCTAAATAAGATGGCCAGGTCTCGAGAGGATTGTTTATTTCGATACTGTCCTGGTTTTTGGTCTTAGTTAGCAAGAAGTCATACATGACTACCTCTTTTGCACAAGTAGTTATCTCCTTTTCCTTAGTTATTGACTGATTGATAACTTGCCTCAGTGACTTTCCTAAATTTAAATTCTTGTAGCTTACAACTGATTAAAACTCCAGATATGTCTTTTTCATAAAAAGGAATAATTGTAAACACTGTTCCTATCTTATGCAGTACAATGTTAAAAACCTTTACAAAGTATTAAATAATAAAAAAGCCTTACAAAGGGTATTGGGTCACATTTTTTAAAATACCAGCTTTCAACACAGTTTTCATTAAAAAAACTCATTCTCAGGTTAATAGCAGGTTAAAAAAAAAGTCAGTGGACCTTCCTAGGTAAGATTAAAAGCTAAGACAAAGAGTTCATTTGTTTTGTCAGATAGAGAAATGGGCTTAAACAGAGATATCTAATACGAGGGCTGCTCTTTCATTCAAAAAATGAATTCAGCGGAAAGAGTAGTACTGACTTCATTATTTTTTTCTGAAGTGACTCTAAAAAGAAACCTAAAATTATGAGAACATTAGCATAGTATCTTTCAACAGAAAAATCACAACAAGAATTATCTTTGCACATATATTTAAGATTTTTAGAATTCTTTGATAATGAGGTAATCTTTTCTGCCCTGATACCTAATTAATTTCAATTGAAACATCTTGCAAGTGTAAAAGCACTTGAGCCATTTGTAGTGAAACACTGGCTATTCAGTAATGCTGATGTGCTTTTTTTAAAAAGTCTATTGAAAAAAGTAATCCTGGAAAGATTTATGTTTATTGACTCTACAACGCCTGGATAAAAACTGCTTTATTAACAAGTGGACAGATTTCTTTCCTACTGCAAACTCAAGCTGAGATAACAGGCATCCTTGATAGATCTAGCCTGTAGATCACTTTCAGTATTAAAGATTCTGTAGCAGAAACTTATTTAATAACTTACTGGATAGCAGATGGCTACCTTTTTATTAGGTAACAGTCCTTACCCATTCATACTGGTGCACCTCCCATAACTTACTGTCATCAAAAATTACTCCTGATTAAATGGAAAGGACTTTTTTTCCCCTATTTATTTACTGTCTCCACCTAAGAATAAGTTACGCTGGAGACATCGTAACAATTTTACTATCAATTAAAAATATAATAAGTATTTAAAAATCAAATAAACAATGACATATATATCAAGTCAGGATTTTTTTTAAAAAGCCCCTCATTTAAAAAAAAATCAATTATTCGCTTAAAGAAAGAGAATATAAACTTATATTTATCTTGGAGGTTATGGGCACAGACTGCAACATACAAATGACAACATCTACACTCAAAACAAATAAAAGGCCATATTTATTCACACAGCATGAAATTATGTTAAGAAAACTAACAGATATAGGATGCCAGAGAGGTAAAAGTTCCAAAGGAAAATAAAGAAAAATAAAAAATTGGAGATCCATATGTGTACAAAAGGATGCTATAGAAGCAACAATCTCTAAAGGTAACACACCTTGGGACTAACTAATAATAAAATAAATTATTCTGATTTAATTTTGTCTGTTACACCTTGACCTCATGTAAAATGAAATAATCTCTCACCTCTGTCAAAGACTAGGTGCTAGGCTAAAGGGGTGAAGGCCTAGTTCCATAAAGCAAACGTTCCACTACACATTTTACACATTTCTTGAGAATTTTAATGTTGTCTCACATAGGATACACTCACAGCTGAACTAAATATCCTTTTCCAACCTAAATAAAACTGACTTTATAGAATATATGGCATTATCAGTTATTTAGTATGAGACTGATCATGAATAATTGTTGAGTACCAAACACCCAGAATTATCACTGGTATTTAAAGACATGCAACAAATGCTGCAAATTCAAGAACTCAAGAGAATATTGCATATGTAGCATACTGCAAGTGTAAAAGAAACTTCACATGAAGAGACATAAAAGCAAAATGCACTTTCTTGGGCATGTTGCACCCCATCTTCATATTTCACTTTAAAATAGTACTCTGCATGAGTACAGGAGTAAATCCTATACATGTAGAAAACTGAGGCTTAAAATCCCACCTGAAGAATATACCTTAATAATGTATATTCAGTGTCCATTCAACAGTGTTTGCCATCTGCAGTCACATGTATAGCAGGCAATGAGAAGTGGTCTTTCATTTAGTTTGACCTCACTTCACACCACTCTTTCCCTTGACTCGTGTTCCTTACAAGCCATGTGAGCATTCCCCACCAGGGACAGTGGGATCCTACCTGAATGACACCTGCCAGCAGACTGGCATCAATTCATATACTGATACTGATTTATCAACAGGGCTGAAATTTGTTCTCCGAAAAATGCAGCTTTCTTTTGAGTGCTAATACAATACTAATGCTGCCAGCCTTCTAATCAACTCTCATCTAACTAGAAACATATACTGGATAAGCTCTTACAACCTCATTCCACCTCCAGATTTCTGCTTTTTCCTCCCCAAACTCCCAAACTCCTGCTGTCCAACTTGTGACGTCTTCATAAGAACTTAAGTAGCTGAAAATATTATATATATTTGCATATAAACACCCCCTACCTCCATATCCACATACACATTTAAAATTTGGAATAATAAAAGTCAATTTAGATCCTCCTAAAAATACTTCATGCAGCCTGTTCCTACCATGAGTGTTTTTTGGCTCACCCACGTGCCTGACAGCCACCCCTTCTCATGGTACCCTCACCACACAAGCTGTAGCCCATCTTCTGAAGATTTCTGTACCTTTTTTATTTTTTATTAACACCCCTTGTAAAGACAGCCAGTAGAGAGCAGATCTGCATCAGTTTTAGAAAGTGGGGCTACTGGCTTTCGTTAAAGAGCAACCACCACCATTCAGCCAGGTACTAGCAGGAAAATACATGTAAGCTTGCAACAATAAAAATACATAACCTCATATGCTTCTGCAAAATTAGTGTAGAGAATACAATGATTTCTTATTCAAGTTGGCTATTTAAACTGTAATAAAGTACAGCAGCTGGTGGCAAACACATATGAACATTTTAATTATTTAATTTCAAAATATAAACTGAGTAACAATCATGTTTTCTAAAAATCAGAATTACATTTTCTCACGAAGCAGTGTTACCAAAATTCTTTTTGAGATTGCTTTTTACGTTGCATTTACCACCTTCCAAAATGAGCTTCCCTGGAAATCAGAGCTGGGATGGTTTCTATGTTGTAACTTAACTAAAAAACACTGTGAACTGAAAAGAGATTTTGGATTCAAATATATTAGGAGAAAAAACTTTTTTTTCCTTTGTTTTTTCAGATCAAGGCAAATTCCAGCTTCACTTTACTGTACTTCTCCTTTTTGATGAAGATATCCTGTAACAAAAGACAAATCACATCATACTCATTGTATCTATTCCTTCTTATATCCAAGGTTAAGTATGCTTTTGTTGTAAAATATTCTTACAGATATCATGTGTCTTACACTTCAGCAAGGATTTATTGTTGAAAAGTTTAGTTTTTTAAAAGCAGCTTATCTGGCAGGACTTAGAGCATTTGCAAGACAGAGTTCTGATTTGTTTCCTTTTAATTTTTTTTTTCAGTAAAAATCATGAATTTGGCAAATTCTTTAATATCAGTAATACAAAACCAGCCCTTGGTTGTTGGTCTGCTCCCATGAGGATGATTTTTGCTTCATTTCCATCTTCATTATTCACATTTTTTTGCATTGTTTCCTGGAAAAGTTCTTCATACCTTGTAGAATCATAAGTAACTAACATAGCTATTGTGAAGTCACAGGACTTCTAATGATGCCCATCTCTGTGGCAGATGTGCATGGATAACTAAACTGAAGCTTGGGAACAGTTTGATTTCTGCAGTGACGGCATGTGCTGCAGGGAGGAATTCAACAGCATCAAACACAAAGCCTTTTAATCTAAAGCAATGTTCAGTGTAAGTCAACATCCCTCCATATCACTTGTCACACTTTCACTTTTAATGGACAAAGGGCCACTAGCTTCCACCGTGCTTCTTGGGAGTGTTTTTTGGGCTTTAATATCCTTGTTGCATATGGCTTCCCGAGAAAAGCTGTCTTAAGCACTGAACAGACATTTCTCCTTCCTAGATGCTTGGAAGTCACTGAACAGATGGCTGATGAGCACTCCCAGAGCATTAACTGAACTCCATGGGCATCTTATCAACATCCATGTGACAACACTTCAAGCAAAAGTTTTCCTTTCTAGAAAAGTTACTGGATACATTTACTTAATTATTTTTTTTTTTCTTGTGCTTTCTTTCTTTCTCTTATTGGGATCCCTGAGATATCTACCAGTTGTCTACATGGGCCTGATTTCCAGAGGTGTCAAATACTCATTAACTTCAAATGAATGTGACTGGGTAGAACACTAAGAGTTCAGAGTCAGGTGTTCACCTTCAGCAGGGTTCAGGGAAATGTTTCTTACCATTCACATTACTCCTGGTTTCTCCCTCTGTATGTTTACCTGTTGTTGAGCTATGTTAGGTGTGGCCAGATTGGTGCATAGAACTAATGCTACCACTGAGCTGACTCATTAAGACTTAAAATATCCTACAGCTAAAATTCTGAAAATACCTGTGGGAGAGCCAATTTTTTGTGTGAATATAGAACAAATACATAACATTTATTCAATTACTCTTCAAATATATTCTTTCCTTTTAAGGAAAACAAAAATGATCAATGAGAAGTAGTACATTAAATTAATTTATATACTGTAGTAAACAAAATCTAAAAGGAGACAATGAAGGCAAATAAATGGAAAAAATACTTATGAAAAAAAGCAGGTGATAAAAAGTTTCAGCTGACCATGTCATATTTAAAGTATCAGATGATGTATTTGGAATGGCAATTAGTAGTTCCATTTCTAATAAAATTAATCATTATTACATAATATTTTTTCAAAGGTCCATCTTTTTCAAATCGTTCTAAATATTGAGCTCTTACTCTAGCAACAATAAAAAGTTGATTTACCTTGAAATAAAGAGTAGGTGTAAGAAGACTGCGAGCTTTAGCTCTTCAATCATATTTAGCTAGTTCTGCTGCCAGCTGTCCTTCAGAGTGATGGTGCCATGCTGTGGAGGATCCATTTGGTCTTTAGCTGGGATGGCACCTGATGCAATGGGTCAAAAATCAACACATCCCACATCAGAGTGAGATGAATGACCCACAACCTTTGATCAGGCCACAACATCCCAGATGTTTAAAGCCAGCGCCTTTTTTTTTGCAGGAGGCTACACACAAGCAGCATGGCAAGTAAATGAGATAGCACCGTGTTGCACTGTGATGAAGGCTGGTAACAGTCATCAGTTGTATCAAATGCAGGTTTGCATTAATAAAACTGAGAAATATGTATGTCTTCTTTATGGCTATATACATATGCTCAGATGTTACTAAACCCAGTTTTTCCTGAAAAAAGACTCATAATGGTACAAACTGCTTCTCAGTAGTTGCTTGTGCTGGCCTTTTGCTTCATGCTCCACTACTTGATTGCTCCTGATCTCAACCTCAGTAAAACGGCAACAAAAGTAGTGCTCCAGTTTAAATCATCACTGTTTCTCACTCTTTGGCCTACTACACCTATGAAAAGTGATCTCAAAGAATGTATGCATTCCTGCCTATAGACATCCTATGAGGGTATGGGCAAAAAGCAGGGACTGTTCAAAGGAAGGTCAGCTAGATCTTTACCCCATTGGGGTACCACCCTTTCTGTCTTAAATCTACTCCAGATGACTTGGGGGCATCATCAGTCCAAGTCTTTATTTTGGCTCTTCAGAGTTTCAGACTTCTTGACATGTAGCATAAAGTGTGAGACAGAAGTTTATCAGGAATGATGTAGAGGTAGAGGAGTACCTTAGGAAAATGTACCTGATCTCATCTACTGAAGTTGCTGAGGTGAGTGGCTCTGGGGCTGACGTGATCGGCTGTGGAGTGCTCCAGTGAGGTGCAGGGGAATTGTCTGAACCTGGGAAGCTCAGAGGAGGGCCAACAGCAGCCTGCAGCTCATGACACAGCAACTGACAGGACCAGGAGCAACAGGCCAAGCCTTCCTCCAAAGGATAAAAGAAGCCTGTAGGGATTTCTAGGGACCAGGACCATCATCAGCAGATTGGGCACACAGGTGGCACCAAGGGCATGATGCAACAGTCTGGTGGCAATTGGCACAGAAGGGCACCCAGGAAATGTGCTGAAACCCTGCCAGAAGACGGACAAGGTCTCTCTAACTTGCACTCGTCATGAGGGACACAGCTTCCCAGGTGGAGCTCCAGCAGGCACATGCTACCACCCCAGTGCCAGGATTTACACTGCCCTTGTGCCAGGACTGCTGGCACAGCTGGCACAGCTCCTGAGCTCAGTGAAGGAAGTGAGTAGGCTGAGGAATCAGGGGGAGTGTAAGAGAGACTATAGGAATCTCAGAATATTCTCCGTTGGAACAGACAGACAGGGATCAAGTCAAACTTTAAGGGAATGGCCCATCCAGAGATCAAGCCCATGACCTTGGCATTATTAGCACTGTGCTCTAACCTTCATTCCCTGTCTTCCCTGAGACAGGATTCCCAGATAGACAAGACACATGATAGAGAGGATTTGTTATCCTCTCCCCCTGCCTGACCACAGTGACTTAAGGGATTGGAGGCAGTGGTGACAAGTGCCTGCCCAGTGCATGTCTCCTCTGGGACTGCCTCACCTCCCCAGGTGTCTGGGCATAGCAGGTATGAGGCTTTGCAAGTGGAACCAAACATAACATGGGTGGTGCTTCATCCAGCATGGGCTTGATGTTGTCATCAATTTGGCCTGCTCCCTGTGCCAAAGCTGCCTTCCAAAACAAAGATGGGTCACTGTCACAGGAAACTCCCTTCTGAAGGGAATAAGGGCCCAATATGCAGCCCAGACTGACTTATGGAAGCCTGTTGCTTCCCTGCTGCCTTGGTTAAAGATATGAAGAGAAAGGTTCCTACCCTGACACAACCCTGTTATTAATTTCTCAGGTAGGCAGTGATGAAGTTGCAACAAGAGGTTAGAGGGAAATCAAGAGACCCTTCAGGGCCTTGGGATGAGTGGTTAAGGGAACAGAAGAACAGGAAGTGTTCTCCTCTATTTTTACAGTTGAACAGAAGAAACAGGAAGAACCAGCAGATCAGTCCTTGGCTCTGACCCTGATGCCACCAGCACAAGTGTGGGTTTTGTTTCTCTGATCATGGGTTAGTTTGGAGAGCACCAGGACTTCATGGCACAGATAGGGTACAGTTGTCTCCTAGAGGGGAATCTATGCACAGGAGTTAGCAGGCCTCATTGAAAGAGATTTAAACCAGATTTGAAAGGGGTAAGGGATAAAACCAGGTTGGCTAGAGGTAACCCTGGGGGCTGCATGTCACTGTTTATGGGACAGTGTGCTAGCAATGTCTTCTGTTCTGCTGTCTCAGTGGAGGTAGGGGATGGAGATCCATGCAGCAGCAGGGACATGAGGGTTATTGATGTGCTAGAAACCATGAAAGCAGCTGACTGGTCGCACATGAATTAGGGCTTCTCCCCCCAAAACGGTGGCGGGATCAATAGCTCAGCTGGAGAATGTCCTCATCACTGCACATAGCACAGGTAACAAACAGGAAGAAGTGGAGGCACAGTTCTTGGTATGGCAGGAAAGCTATGATATAGTTGCCATCACAGAAACATGGTGAGATGACTCATATGACTGGACTGCTGCAGTGGATGACTATAAACTCTTCAGAAGAGACAGGCAAGGAAGGAGAGGTGGTGGGGAAGCTCTGTATGTTAGGGGTTGTCTTGACTGTCTAGAGCTTAGTGATGTGATAACAGGGTTGAAAGTTTAAGAATCAGGGGAAAGGCCAGCTAGACAGATAACACGGTGGCAGTCTTTTGTAGACCACCCAACCAGGACGAAGAGGCACATGAAATATTCTGTAAGCAGCTGGGAGAAGTCTTACAAGCTCTAACATCCTGACTTGTATCAGAAATAGTGTGGCCAGCAGGCCCAAGGCAGTGATAATTCCTCTATGTATGTACATATGCATGTACTCAGCATATGCATGCTGTACTCAGCAATGGTGAGGCCACACCTTCAATCAATTTTGGGCTTCTCAGGACAAAGAAGACATTGAGTTGTTCAGAGAATGGGTCCAGAGATGGGTCTGCACAGGGTCAGTGAAGGATCTGTAGCACAAGTCTGATGAAGAGTACCTGAGGGAGCTGGGGGTGTTTAGCCTGGAGAAATGGAGGCACAGGAGGGACCTTTTTGCTCTACACATTTCAGGCAGGAGATTGTAGTGAGGTGGGGGTTGATCTCTTTTCCCAAGTAACAGGAGATATGACAGGAGAAAATGGCCTAAAGTTGCACAGGGGATGTTTAGATTGTATATTTGGAAAACATTTCTCCACCTAAAGGATTTCCCAGCAGTGGAACCTGCTGCCTAGGGTGCTGGTTGAGCCATTATCCCTGGAGGTATTTAAAAGATGTGTAAATGTGGTACTTCAGGACATGGTTTAGTGATGGACTTTGCAGTACTGGGTTAATGGTTGACCTTGATGATCTTAAGGTATTTGCCAATCAAAACCACTTTATGATTCTATGATTCTAAGTTTCTATGTTTATAGAGCTGATACAAAAGCTTAAATTACTGTGAGATCAGATACTATCAGTATTCAAGTTTTTAAACATAGGAGCACTTTTTGTGCAGTTCATGAAGTTTCACTGACCTAGCCTGCTTAAGCAACAAATTTTTAACAATATTCAAATCTTCACAAATAATTAGAAAAAGGATAGTTATTCAAAGTCATGAATGCTAGAAGTAATTGCTGTTCAAGCTGGTCACCTGAGTCTATCAGAATGTAACCTAAAATACACCAGAGAATCTCAAGCTACCATTAAATTTCACTTTCATGAATAGCAAAGAGTCTTTGTTAGCAAGAATACAGCCATCAGAAAAGGTCAGAGGCTGGCATAGTAATGAGTTAATTTACATTCTAATGGACATACAGGTATTTATTTTCCTTGGCTGCTACAGATATGTGAATTGCTTATCAGTCAGAGATTTAAAATAATTTATGAAACCAGGAAAAAAAACCCCAACAAGTACCATGTCTTTCTAATTAATCTGGATGTGAGACAGAGACTTTTGCATCATATCTAAAATAATGCAGAGGCAAATGCTACAGTTAGTGACAGATTCTGGTGCATAAATATACTAGACATTGAAACAATAATAAAAATCTTGATTTGCAGAAATGAAAAATAAATTTTTGAACAAGCTTTGTATGTGGTCAACAAGAATGAATTATTTTCCAAGGACAGAGTTTGATACTAAACACCTACAGAATGTCTCATTTTTAAACAACCTGTCTTCTCTTTTCAGACACTGATTACCAGAACAGTGTTATTCTGTTACAGATTTATTTCCTTGCTGATAGTAAACTATATTATCTGAAGGACAGTCAAGTTTTGGAATAGAGAAAATGCTGCTGCAGAAAAAATTTTACTGGGATAACTTGACCTGAAGTAGAAAAAGCTATCTTAAGGAACTGGGGAAGAGTCTTGTCTCTTTTTATGACTAAAGTTTCTACTAAAAGTTCAAATCCTTTGGTTCATATTCTAGTTTTTGATTTGGAGATGCAGGTAGTATTGGATAAACTGTTATTTTCCTCTCTGAAGTCTAAGAATATGTATTTTTATTTAAATACTAACCCAATTAGCAAAAGCCTGCATGCATAGGTACTCATACATGATAAGCAAGACATCACAGATGTTTGCTCACAGGTTGTTGATTCTATCAACATTTTGAAAAGGTCAAGGGCATATTTTTGTACAGACATGAAAAAAACCCTTTTGTTTGGCCGAAGGGAAATTTTCCCTGAAGAATCTCCAGGTTTCCTCATGTGTGCTGTCCAATGACTGCTGCTAAAAACAGTGTCACTGGTTCTCTTTGCAGGGTAGCAATTGCACTCTTGACTGTACTGCTCTAATGCTGTGAGAACTGGCAATGAAAGCAATGCCTTATCTCGGGCAAAAACATTGTTGAATGCAGCTCTCCCTGAGCAGAGCAAACCCAGCAAGGTGAAAAGCCTGGTATGTGTCATACACACAGAACCAGCAACATCATTTGGAATATAAATTGAGAGTTCAGAACCCTGACAGCTTGTGGCTGTTGCTTTTAGAAGGACCTGCAAGAGCTGCCATACCCATAAAGACTTTGTATGCTGGCTAAGAATGCGTCTGACAACTCTGCCTGGGTTTAGTGAAAGCTAATTTAAGTCTCAAAAACTTTTCAGGAATACTGCATTATATTTCTGGAGCTCTCTGACAGTCAGAAACTCTGCCTAACTATATCACTCTCTCTG